GTTATCGGCGATTCTCGTCTATCAAAGGGGAGGGGTAAAGAAGATGTTACGCCGCATATTGTCTTAAGCGATGGGAGAGGGAATAACGGTGTGGGAGGAGGGAGGGGGTCAGGGAAATAGGAGATGTGTGTTGTGTGTTCTGTGTGTGTTCGTATGCCCTAGCCCATTTTTCTGAGAGCCATACCGAGGAGGGGCATGTAGTACATACATACGTTTTGGCTCAAAATATTTCGTCGTTTTCGGGATTCTTCGGCAGGACGGACCTTGCCGTATTTTTTCATTTCACTGATTTAAACAATTTCAAGAGTTCAAGTTTTTTTTCCCGTGATGGTCTGTCCATACAGCCCATATTGTGCTGCACCGTCATTTTTCATAAGTTTACTTTTTAGCAGGCGACAAGAGTTTCCTACCGTTGGCAAGTCCCGGGATGATGTTGCCCCCCCCCCCTATCGTGGCACTAGTCCCGAGGTTAAAGTACATTCGATTCTTACTGCTGTGCTTCACTGATGCGCAAAAAAAGGCAGAGTTCGTGCCTTCAACTCCTGCTCCGGCAGCAAGCCGCAGCAACTGCGCTGTGTTGGACTTCAGTGCGATTGTTATGTACTGCTGTTACATAGTCTTTAGAGTCGCTATCTTTCCCACTTCGCGGAGTCCGTGCTGATCTCTCAGAGCGGGCGACGCAACAATACATATATTGGTTATGCTGCTGCGTACAGTATGGCGTGACATGCACGATGCGATAACGTGTTGTGCAGGGCGGTATAATGCGGTACTGCCAGTTTGTTGCGTGTGACCGAAAGGCGTTTTCCCTACAATACAAGCCAGCAGTAACAAAGAAAGGTTGCTGGTGTCATAATGTGGTGGGGTGTTCGTATTCCGGTGCTGTATTCGTTTCGTTAGGGCGGAAATTACAAAGTTACGCATTTCTTCGGTAGTTTTCTGTCAATTTTTCCTTGGAGGCCCGGTCGACTCTGTAACCTAGCCGCCCGCGATCCTCCCCTGGAGCATTCCTCGAGTATCCTGTACAAGTATTTAGTTTAGTCTGAGTGGTAACACGCGTTGTCGTGTGGACAAGAACTGGCGCGCATCCTTCGACCGATAATCGAATGGACGCTGCGTGCTTTCGGCACGTCTCGGTTTCTTTTGCCGGCCTGTGCCCGATGTGCAGACGCCGAGCCTACCCTGCTGTGGATGGATGGTTGGGGTGCTGGTTGTTTTTGTTAGGGACCGCGGGCCGGATAATAAGAGAGGTTATGCAAGTGTAGCCAAGGCAGTAGGAAGAGGATGGCGCACAGCAGCAGCAGCAGCAGCAGCAGCAGCAGCAGCAGCAGCAGCAGCAGCAGTACAACGAAGAAATGTTTTGTTTATGTATGAGGGCTGGCTCTACTGTATTGTTCGAGATGGGGAGGTGTGAGTGCGTGAACGGAAAATGCCACTCTGTAAGTAGTGATAGTGACCACTCTTCATTGCGTCGGTTTCCAGTACAACCGTACAACAGTACAACAGTACAACACAGTGTGTGGTTGGCTTGTTTCGTATGGTATTTGGCTGGTCACTTCGCGACGAGTATTCTTTCTTTCACGGTGATGGCTCCTCGCCCGCATCATGCAGCTTGCACGTATTAAATGCACAGTCTGCATGCACACAGCCGTGTCTTGCCCCTAGCTGGCATTGTACAAGGATTTTTGTTTTTCATGTGCAGCCGGGATTATCCCCGCCGTACTGTATGTGCCTATCGTCGACAAGGTGCATTGCTTTACTGCGGACAATAAAAGAAGTAAAGGTTTTGTCGAGAAGATGGCGATCGATCCCGTCAACAGTTTCGAGTCTTTTCCCAGCAATTGGTTTTTTATAGCTTTTAGGTTTGGTCGGGTGTGTACATTCATCATACGTTGTAAGTAGGTCTCCCCGAGGACCTCACAGGTGCATGGCAACCAACCCAATTGCCCTGGTTCGTGTCGCCTGATCATTGATCTGATGTTGGAGACCAGTACAAAGGGAGAATAAGGATTGATTGTGGTAGGTAGACCGAACAAGGGCCCGCTGAGATTTACTTGCTTGGGGATTTTCGGGTCGGGTCGGTACCTTTGTAGCATTCAGATGCGCGCATTCGTTGTTTCGTTTCGTTTGTTGTTTCTCTTGACCCGGACTTTTCAACAAGCGTCTGAAGACGAATGCTGCCCCGCCGAGGGCCGGCGAGCTTATTGTATGCGTATGTATGTTGCGCTTCGGGATCGCCTTTGCCGAGGTGCTTAGCGGGTAATTATGCCTGTCGTTTCGGGAGAAGTGACGTTGAGGAAGAATTGATAGGTACCGTTTCGGTCATCTCGGGGTGTCGCAGCCGATTATTCTTCAGCGAAATAGTATTTAATAACAAAGAAACGTGTCGTATCCGAGGCGGAAGGCGTTGAATCTCCCCGAAGGAAAGGTCCAGGGTCGCCTGTGAGAGACTGGACTTGTGATTGCTGCCTTTATCATTGCATTTGCATCTCGTTCCACTGGTCTGTGCCACATGTAAGGGTTACACATAAACTCTGCCTGATCAAGATTTCTGGCTGTCCGACAACTAGAAGGTTGTCGTGTGCCGAGTTACGTGGTGCTTTTTTTCTCGAGAGGCAGAGGAAGCGATAATGCTATTTACGACACCGCCCAAAATGGTTCGAAAACCGCGTTCTCTGTGTTCCTACGGCTCTCAGCTGTCGCCCAAGCCCTCGTTCGTCTCATCGTGACCAGTGGTTGCCGGGACAGGGCCCAATATGATGTCAAAGCACCACCTCGGCGGTGTCAATTTCACCGCACCGCACGAGACTCTCCGGATTCTTACATTCTCTCCCGAATGGGCACGAAACTATTTGATCGCTGTGTTACCACGGCCCCCAGGTGTCTGTCGCACAACAAGCCGTCATTTGGCCGAAACTAACATGTGATTCTCGAGATACGCCCTAGAACATGGCCACAGCACCACTTCGGCGTGGTGTCGTAAATACGTCATATTTACGACACCGTGCGAAGCAACTTTCCGAAAACACCCCTCCAATGGGCACGAAAGTAAACGCGCCGCGTTCCCACGGTCCCCAGCTGTCGCAAGACCAACAGTAGTTCCCGATTACGCGTAGGCCCGAAGTAAAATGGTAAAGCTTATGAATCGCTGAAGAAATTGAGTTCCACGGAAACGGGCGTCATGAAGTTCATTTTTCATTCTTGCCCATCACGTGCATAGGTAAGGTATTCGGTGCCCCACGTCCCGTTGTGAAACCGAGTCCCGAACCCAAACATACAGTAATGCTTTACTGTCGTGACCCTACGTGACCAAAATTCACTTCATTCTTCTTGTCCATGACATTCATAAGGAGGGTTTCCTGCGTCCGAAGTCCGGGTGTGAAACCGAGTCCTCACTCCCACGCACATGTTTCCCTGGTTAGTTGGATAGCATCAGAAGTTTGAAAACGCGCGCTGTCGTCGGCTAATGATCTGTTTCACTTTCAGCTTCGACGTGGGTTCCTCGTCGAGGGAACCGATCTGTAATGTGATACCCCAAAACCCCTCATTTTCTTGGTGTTGGATGCAAATTGCTCGAAACCATTGTGTTATGTGATAATTCAAGGAAAATGATACCGATTGGTGAGACCTTAGGGCTTCATGAAAACGCGCCTGACACATTTCACTCCCTATGTCCGTGACATTCACAGCAGATGCTGCGATATTTAGAGTAGCGACAGACGAGGAAATAACGTATGTCAACACACCTTGCGCTGCCGCGCAATTCCCCTTCTCCGAACCCCACGCACCGTCCGGAGTAGTTTCCGGACCCGCACGCTCTTGCTGACTGTGCTCCGCGCAGCGCACACCCTCCGGCGGGCTCGGTGAAGGGTTCGGCGTACCACCCCCCACGCTCCTTACGCATAGCTTGTGAACAGTGGCTAGGGGCGCACCCGCCCCACTCCTTCCGCGACCGAGGTGTTTCGCTTACTTTCGTCTTGGTAGTCGGGGCCGTTATACAAAGCATGTTGAGCTTCGGGTGCTGTGCGCTGGCCGAAGTTCTTACCAAGATGCTGGCCAACGTCTCCAGGTTTTCCTTTCCTTGTTCTACAGCGATGGAGATAACCGTCTGCTTGGATTTTATCAGCCGAGTTAGGCCGCCGAAAAACAGGCAACATGTATATCGGCAACCACGCGTGGCGCCGTGGGAACACAGCGCGTCTACAGTAGTTAATGGTGTTGCAAACTTCACGCGGTGTCGTAATTACGGCGAATGTACGGCGATACTGCTGAAGTGGTGTTGTCGCCACGTTCTTGGGGCGTATCTCGGGAACCACGTGTTGGTTTCAGCTAAATCACGGCTTGTGCGACAGCTTGGGGCCGTGGAAATGCAGTGGAAATAGTTTCGTGCCCATTGCAGGTGATTGGGAGCGTTTCGCGTGGTATCCTCAGTATGCCAACTTACGACACCGCCGGGGTGGTGCTTTGACATCATTTAGGACCATATCTCGGCAACCACCGGTCACCATGGGAGGAGCGAGGGAGGTCAGAGCCGTAGGAACTCAGAGAATCTGGTTGGTGTCCTAAATAGCGTTACCTTTCTTTACGGTTGCTCTTGAGCTACCCTAATCACACGCCTCATCTCGACGAAAATCCAATTAACCGTCTTTGAGGGTCGGTACCGGGACATTGATCTAAAACACACAACGGCTACAACCGATGTCCTCCACAATGTTTGCACTGCGGCCCCCCAAGCAATTGACACCACTTTCGAGCGTGCGCGTCGAGTCATGAAGGAAAGAAGTCGTGCACTTGACGGGATCGCCAACTTGACACGTACGGATATCACAGGCTTCCTCGCTGATAGCAGTGGGTGTGCCTTACATAGATGTCAGATTCGCAGATAGATATGAATTTACTCTAGACGGATGCCTGCGCCTAGCCCCCTATTCTAACAAGCCCCACACAACCGGACGCGTTCCTCGGCAGCTGTCATAGCAGACTACCTACTCCGCCTTGAGTTACACCGTGTATGGAGGCCGACCATTCCACCTGTGTGCGAAGTCCACCCCGAATGACAACTGCAGCAGGGAGGCCGGCCACACGATTCCCGCAATGGGCTGGTTGAATTCAGTACCAAGCGATAGCCTTCGCAAGGAGACCGGCCACGCGACTCCCACAATGGGCTGCTTGAAGCAACGCCCAAACGATAGCTTTTGCAGGGAGGCCGGCCGCGCGACTCTCACAATGGGCCGGTTGAAGCAACGCCCAAACGACAGGCGCTTCAGGCATGCTGTCCACACGACTTGGGAGATGGGCTGGTTGAAGTGCACTCCAAACGACAGACTCTTCAGACAGGCCGGCCACGCGACTTCGGCGATGGGCTGGTTGAAGTGCACTCCAAGCGACAGACGCTTCAGGCCGGCTGGCCACACGACTTCAGCGTTGGGCTGGTTGAAGTGCACTCCAAACGATAGCTTTTGCAGGGAGGCCGGCCACGCGACTTTGGCAATGGGCTGGTTGAATTTAGTACCATACGATAGATTTTGCAGGGAGGCCGGCCATGGGACTCCCACAATGGGCTGGTTGAATTCAGTATCAAACGATAGCTCCTGCAGGGAGGCCGGCCACGAAACCGTGTTCACTGGCATGTCCGAATCAAATTCCAGGCGTTTGAGGTTTGGAGGCCGAATTGCCCGTTGTAATCTCGACGCAGATGAAGGTCCCGTTGGCCGCTGACATTCTACACCTGTTCGTGGCTTCGTGGCAGCTCTTTGCAGCAGAACCTCCACCGGAAGTTCCCACTTCAAGCCAAACGCCTGCACAGCCGGCACGCGGCTCGAGGTGCCTGCCTCTCGACTGCGCTTGGTGGGTGTGGTGTGTGATTTGCGAGGAGACCACAGACTGGGAGGCGTTCGTCGGCCAACACGCACGTGTAAGGTCGGGACATCTCTGCACGCCACGCAGAACCCCAGCGACACAAGCTGTAGCTCCAGCGTAGACGTGTACCAACGTTCGCCATGTCCATCGACACGCCTGCTTCAATGCGATGATGAAGGCCTCCAGGCACTTGTTCCCTCTTACACATCTTGTGGGCCTTGGGGCAATTTCTTGCCGCGCGATTAAGTGGGTGAAGTCGGACGAAAGGGGAGAAGGATGGAACGCGGGGAGGCTCTCCGAGAGGGTGCAGATACGACACGGAACAAGTAGAAGCTCTGTACAGCTTTCTCGGCAGGATAGGCATTCACTTTTGTCAATGCTATTTAACCACGTTTCGGAGTACCCACTCCGCCTCTGATGGAGTATGTCATGTGCAACGCCTTGGCTTCTACACCGGCCACTCGAAGCGTCATCTTCCACACCAACGGCGGATTGCACCTCTTTCTCCTCAACGGACACACCGATATACCCTCCCCTCGTGCTAGCTCCACCTTGCTACATTTCCGTCGCAGACTCGGGTACGTATCACGAAACCCGTCGTAGAGCTCCGCTAAATCGCATGGCACCTCGTTTGCTTCCTTGTGGGTGTTTCGACATACAAATTTATATATGCATATTGCCGCCCGCGCCGTGCCGCCCGCGCCGTGCCGCCCGACCTATGAAAGTCTCCATCCAGTGACGAGAAAAAAAAGGTCGCACATACATGCAGCATTGATGTAGACGAATATCATTGTAGGTTTTCCCGGCGGGGCAGGGGGCGGACGGGCGGAACATGGACAACGACACACAGCTGATCGATCCGTCTCTGGAGAGCATTTCATAGACTCTCGGCGTTGCTTGCGTTTGGGACATTTGACTCTGTACTTGCTGTGAAGAGCAGACGTGTGGAAGTTGTTGCCTCGTCTCGTTGTCTTTGTTTGGAGGTGTTTCTTGTTCTTGTGCTGTAGCAGTGGGCTTCACACTGAAAAGCATGCCTGCCTCCGCTCAGCACTTCGAACATCCGTCGAGGCGCACGCGTAAAAAAAGCGTGAGTGCAGCGGACTATCGCGGATGCGGCAGGAACCCACCACTTACTTCCTTCTCGTTTCTGACGTCGCAACCTCAATCCAACCCAATCCATCTCACCTTTGAAAGTCATGGCACCGCTGGCAGTGTGGGCGTTCTTGCGTGGGCCGGAGAGTAACCAGGGGCAGATGGTGGCACCTCGTGAAAAGTCGGTCGGATCTATCTGTCGATGGCCAGAAAATGATACAGTTGAAGGACGTGCGTGATGGATGCCGCGGTTGAACACCTGCTGCAGGATACCATATTTGATCGTTATGGTGCTCTGGCAACGTGCATCTGTTGGCGATATGTAGTTTGGTAGTAAATGTCTAGTGTACCAACGGAGTCATCATCAACGGAACACGCCGTTCGCACGATGAAAGTCCCTTCCACATGTATCCTCGTCGTTTTTCAGACCGGATCCACTTTTCTTCTGAGCGGTATGATACATATATCTCTACGGTGGTGGTCCTTTCATGGCCGCTGTTGAGTAGCTTGGTGCGAGGCGCAGTTGCAGACGGCAAAAGTAAAAGAACCACGCGGCGAGTTTGCCGGCAACAATAAAATACAGTAAACTGCCCGCGGATGTGGTAACCCGCCGCATCTGTGATGTTCCGGAGCGTGATGGCTCTGATGTGTTGAGGCTGGTGCTATGATAGCTGTTGTGATGGCGTGATAGCCTAGAGGCGGCGTGACAGCCTGGCAGCGTGATAGCCGGTGGATATGTGTGGACACAGGCGTGATAGCCCAGAGCGTGATAGCCGGGAAAAGCAAGACGAAAATTATCCAAGTGCACGTGGTCAACACCGTTGCAGACACGTATACCCAGGAAACAACAATATGTGGCAAAGATGGTACCACCATTCCCGCAATATACCACAAATGCGGAACCCCAACAATTCCCCGCTCCATCTTCTCGGAACGTTCCTCGGTTGCAATAATCTGTCAATGCTGTGAGTACATCCAACAGCCGCGACAACACCGCTGCTCTGGTATTGCCTGCTCTTTATCCAGGGACAAAAATCGACAACACACGGGTCGCACACCGACCTTTGGTGGAAGAATGTCAAGCTTTCTCCGGCTCGACACATTTCACAAATCATCCGTCCCATATATAAATATTGCTGCCTACACTCGCCACAAGAACAACGCGCAATTGTGCTCCGGAAAGAAGAGAGATGTCGGACGTAATATGCCGGAATGTTAAGGACCATATCGCCAAGCGGTCGGCCCTTTTCTGCGTTCAGAAAAAGGGTACCGAGTGTTATCGCGGGCTTTGCCCGCATTGTAATATAATATAATATGACACCGCTGTCCGTATTCAGAAGAATTTCCGCATCAAATGATCCGCTCCCGCGGCGAAAACAAAGACAATGAGCATTTTAAGGTGGTGTGAAAGACGAAGAGCCCAGGGTGTAACTTATATACTTATACAAGTGTCATTAAAATGAGCCGCGGAGCGCGAAGCACGTTTTTTTTGCTTCATCCCAGCAAGGGTGCCCACGGAAAAGTGAAAACGACAACCACGTCCTAGAGAGGTCGAAAAGAAAAAATAATGATAGTGGTCTGGTGACGTAAGAAAAAAAAAGTACTACTTTTTTGGACCTTTTTTTTTCCTTGATTTTTTATACCCCCGCCCCCCCCGGTGCTTGCCATCGGGGTTGGGTTTTCGTCGCTTGGCAACGACGTTGTAAAACAAGCC